CAGTGTGCACTCAATTTGTCATTCTCCACTCCCTTGGGAGTATGCAACTTAAGCTGCCTGTGAGGCGCTAGACCGTTAACAGTCACATCACCATCTAATCCTACACGGTACTCATTCTCTGCTGGGTGAACAAATATCCAAAAGTGTTTGTGGATCATGTTTTGATTTTGACCAAGTGGATGTTGAAATTATCTTGAAATAATACTTACAAACATCTTTAATAAACACAAATATATTCCATTTATCTGTATCTCGCGGCCCTCTCATCAAAATAGTTGTAGCGGTGTGAGGAATGTTTCTGCAATCAGCTTAGCCCACGCAGACCACGCCCATGTGTATTTTCAGACACTCTACATTTGAAAACTGTGTCGGTCACTCTGTCGTATGCTGTCGCGAGATTGTGATCACCTTCACTCCATTGCATATGTATATTATAAAGATCCCCAAACTCACCAAACAAACAAGAAAAAAACACCCTTGAAAAAAAGCGTTGTGATCCTATATTTTTCTCCACAGCTGTGACCACTTTTATACCATATTAACACGTATCCAACTTAATTGGGAGTTAATAATGTAATGGTTATCATTGCAAACGAAAACAACACAATCGAATGTCTTTGTTTAAAGTGAGAAATGTAATTAACGGTTCAATACGGATATGTCCCCCAGCAGACTAAATTGTATATCCATACAATATAAACATCGCTCTCATGTCAGGAGAACATTGTGGCGCAACGTATCGTGAATACAACAATTAGCTGGGTAATAAATATTTTCAAATGTGAAATAATAATAAGTATACTCATTTTGCATCAAACAAAACGTGGTTATGCCGGCTGATTTACTGATACTTCTGAAGATTGCCGCTTAAGATAAACCGCTAATTGCATAGGCGTGTAAAGTGGTGAGACACCGCCTGTTGTCGATTTCTGTGCAGGACCCCGCAGGTGCGTGATCCGTCAAAGTGACAGCTATTGACAAGGTAAGTGATCGCTGGCCGTATAGCCTTCCTGGTGAACATTGAGATGAGGGGAAGGTAAAACACTTATGTGCGGTCGATTGACTAAAAAGTCGCCGAAGTCATTTCCGCATATTTGAAATATCAAAAAACATAAACCCTTTTCTTTAACTAAAAATATTTGAAGGGACAAAAGGTTGCTCTGAAACGTGACAAGAAACAAATAAAAGTTATCAATTTTAAACTTCCTTTGTTCATATTAAAAAGAAAATATATTTTTTTATCCTAGCATAGATATGTATTGTTATGTCAATTTGAGGGGAAGAAGTTGTATGTGGACAAGGCTACTCGAGCGATGAGGGGGTACATGCGTCAGTTATAAGATTTAAAAAAATATCTGGAATCGAGCCTGCACCCCAGGCGAGCGAACAAACGCTTTAACCACTGGGATACCCTATATGTCTGTTGGTAGTAGGACACCGGTAAGAATATATGTAAAGATATTCGGCGACCGGGCAATTACCCTATACAGACTTAAAACAGGAAGCCAGTGTTTTTGTGCGGGGTTACGTGGAGAGAATCGCACTGTCTTGACCACGAGCCTGTTTAACATGACACAAATACTTAACAGAGGAAACCAGCGTCTCGCAGCTTTGATCCCGTAAGTGATGACGTCACACACCAGGTCGTGTATATGGCACGTGGAGGTTCCACGAAGGGAGGAGACATTTTGAAGGTCTAGCGACTGCCTTGTAATAACTAAATTATTTTAAGTGGTGAATTACTTTCATGTTAGAGTTTTTAAAGATTTTTTTTTTTTTTTAGGAATTAACTTAATGGGTTGAACTCGTTTTAGCTTCCACCAAATTCAAGTAACGATATTTATGTTGATGGGATATGGGAACAGATATGTCACAAGCATGACATTTGGTACGTAACGAGACACTGTTTTGCAAGGTGGTAAAAAAACACCAGACAGGAACAGCCGTCTCAGTGGTTTAGTGGATAGAGCGTCTGCCAGGAGAGCGGAAGGTCGGTGGTTCGATCCCTTGTTCATGGCATACAAAAGACGCTAAAATGTGGTACTTACTGTCACCATGCCTGCCTGAAAACACACACGTATACACATATACAATATATAATCATGAACGCGACGTTAAACCCCATTTCACCTCCCCTCACCCGATTGCAAAAATACAATCACTGACAGTTTTGTTGTTTTCATTTAAACACACACACACACACACACACACAATATATATATATATATATATATATATATATATATATATATATATATATATATATATATAATAAAATAATAAAGTCCACGTTAGTCCATCATCTTCTTTATATCAGTTTCATACATAGTACTTTCGCTGTCTCATGACAGCACTGAAGAGCTGTCATGAGACAGCGAAAGTAGTATGTATGAAACTGATATAAAGAAGATGATGGACTAACGTGGACTTTATTATTTTATTATATATTACATGTACACCGAGTGAACATTTACCTCATTTTTGTGTATATATATATATGGGTTTATATATCCTTGAAGACAATATGCTCGTGATATCAATCACTGGATTGTCTGGTCCAGACTCGATTATTTACAGACCGCCGTCATATAGCTGGAATATTGCTAAGGTAGGCTTAAAACAACAAACAAACAAACCTTGAAGACAGACGTACCAGGTCGTCTCCAAATACACACGTGTTTAATTGTATTACATGATATAAAAATACCAAAAACGGAGGATATAACATATTCAAACAGTACACAACAAGCAGTTATAATGTATGCATCAAGATTACAAGACACTTAAGAAATCTTTACGAATGAAATCTGAACTTTCATCATTAACGCATATATATATAATCTTATCACAAAACACATAAATCGTATGACGCACAAACAGGGAGTGGCATGTCTCTGTATCACTGTTATACCACGCATCTGTAGTGAAAGCATATGTTGACTCTAATGGTATTGATATTCATCACTAAGCAAACTCGTGAAAACATCGGCAGGGTTTTCCCAATAAGAGCATGTCAATTTCAAAACTCTAATCTCATCCCATCATCGGCTCATGTTGGATTCTCACTAAATGCCCCTATCTCTCTGATGAGCGATCTGGTGTTTATTTCACGTCACGTGGCTGATATAGACAAGCACCGTACAGTCGCCTCTTCGTCAACGGGCGTATAAATGTAATATGATAGGCAATTGTACAGAGTCCACTGAGTATCATATTTCACAGGTTCGTCAATAATTGGGGTAACGCATTCTTCATAACTGTCTCAGATGAACTTCACATTTTTCCCCAAAAATTACATTGAAGAAAATATAATATAACAGTAATGTACAAGCACGAAGAAATATATAGATATATGGTACAAAAATATACAGAAATGGGGTGAATTAAAATTTAACGTGGCATCGGCATTATTTCAGCCATATAGCGTTAAAGATATGGTGTAAGTATGCTATTCAACGTCATCACAGTCATGTCATTATTTTTTAATTTATCGGTGAAAAGATAAACACAATATTTAACGTCTAATGCATGCCGAATGTGTCACAGTTCAAAATGACCGTCGCTACATTGTTTTTTTATTATCCTAGTATTACGTCAAAAGGAGATTAAACCTTGGTTTTCAGCTATAATGTGTGATAATCGTCTACACATGTTTAAGAGATACGTGCTCCCGAAATTTCCTATTGTATATCCGTGTTGCCGACTGCACTTAAACTGATTGAGGGTAGTAAAAGAAGTGACACTTTAGCCTTTTCCCATAACGTTACTATGTCCTCTCCAGTAATCACTTTATGGTCTATAATTGGGTTTATCTGAGCGAGGCTGACACGAACATATCATTAGCTTTATGCTCATCAATTAATTAGTTGCCATATCCTATTAAGGTCACTGATACACCTTACCTCACATCGCTCACGAAATAGAATGTTAGGTCAACGGGGAAATAAATAAGTGAGTTGGGTTTTAAGCCGTTTTTACCAATAGTCCGGAATTACACCGTGGGGAAATAGGCTTCACACATTGTAATCGAACCCAGACCTTCAGCGTGACAAGCGAACGCTTTAACCACTAGTCTACTCGGCCATCCCTGGGAAATAAATAAAGCATGACAGCTATTATTGCAATGTATTATTTTTTTCATTTTTTTTCCGTAGGCTTACAATCGTGTGTTGTATTTTGTTAGTAGTTCCTTGTGTAGTGTTTGTTATGCACCATGTGACACACCAATAAAATAGTTTTCTTCTTTTTGTAATCACGAAATAGGGCCCCGTAAACCCCACCCCCACCCCACCCCACCCCACCCCACCTCACCCACCCACACACACTCTCCCCACGTATATCTTGTAGTGTATTTAACACTACACTGTGTAGTAGTAATTGTTCGTTCAATATCATAGGAAATATTTTTCAGCTATTATAATGTTAACCGTTAAGTTACGATACGTAAAAAAAAAATTGTACTCACCTAGGTCATGACTTACAATTTAAAAATGAAATATTTTATAGTGGTGTTATAAAAAATATGCCTTTTGCAGCCACGCAATATTAAATATAAGTGTTACTTGGTGTTCAACGCCGCTGTGGGAATGTAAGATGTGCGTTAAGACCATTCATACATGTTGTACATTGCTTACCTAGAACATCAGGGACACTTATAAGCTTGCTATTCCCCCACGTGGTGCATGTACTATAACTAGAACAAAGTCAAGGAAACGAATGAAAATACGGAAATGAGCGAGGATCCAAACGGCTTGCCTCCTGTGTTTAAAAATAAACTACGACCTATTTCTACCACCAAGTGATCTACCCACAAAACAAACACACATTTGAATTAGAATTGAAACAGTGACGTTATTTATAAATGCGTATGATTTAGTAAAATTTCCACGTTAAATACATGTGTATTAATTCAACGGAATAAAAATATAACTAAATGTCACGCTTGAGTGAAAACTCCCGAAACGAAAACCAAGGGAATCCGCCAGAGGTGAAAACGAGGCTGTGACGTCACGATGTCGAGATGCAATGCTCGTAAGCCGAGAGGTGAACTGGGCGAGGCTTCGGGGCGAATGTCGGCATTTTCGAGTGAGTAACCCTCATTTAGGGACGGGACATTTTACTGTGTCGAAACACTCAGTACTGAACACGGGGATAAACAGGTCAGCAGCCGGCTTAAATCGTCAAATTCACTCAAAAGAGGATACAAAGCGAAGACATTTGCCAAGGCTCCCAGTGAAAGTTCGAGGCCCGTTCCAAATTCACCTGTCTGAAATTTTTCATTCAAGATCACAGACGTCCGTATCGGCCCAGTGTGAGAGGTGGTACAGGAAAGCTATACCCATTCACAGAGCGATGGTAAACTGCTATACCGGGAATATACAGTGACTAGACACTTGAAACACCAACCCCGATTGTGTGTCGCTTCTTACGTGAGACAACATGAAATGTTTACATCTGATATTTGTTTATATTCTACTACAGGTAAGTGCTATCGATGTGTGTGAATGTTAGCATTGTCATAAACTTATTTTCGTACAAACCGCTGATAAATACTCAATTAAATAGAGTATGCGTGTCAACAAGGAATGACCGAGCGTTGTGTGTTTATCTTTTCAAAACTCACAGATCGTGACTGTTTGATTGACATTCTTTATCCATAAATTTGTACGTTTTCTTGTTCATAGATCGTGATCGATTTTACTTTGATACATCCGAAGAATTGTGACCAAAAAAACCAAATCTGTTCAGACTTCCAAACTATCAGGAATATATTATTATTTATATCTAAAACTATGGTCGAAACAATAATGATTTCTTCACCATTTTAGCTATTATCGTAAGTAACGTCACTGGCACTTTACGTGCCAATCGTGCTGGTACGACTAAGACAACAATCAAAAGGATATCTTTTATTGATAACTACAGGTATATGAATCGTGAGTGGTTTTGTTACGGTGACACCAAACCCTGTGTTGAGTTCGTGACTTGCATCAAACATAATACACACCCATTACCAGCTGGCTACCTAGTGTATATAATCCTTTCCTTGAAATACGTTCTTCTCAAAGGATGAAGACAACTAGTCATTAGATACTTAGTCTGACTATTTGTACAGCAGGAACAGGATTAACAACTTTGTATCCCTTTGTGTGTATTGCTATAGCCAGATAGCCTTGATACACTATAGGAATACAATTATACATGTTTCAACATTTATCAACAAATGATCACTGATGATGTTAAACAGGTTTATTCAATTTTTTTTATTTCACTATATTCAATATTGTGGTATCGTGTCAATTTTATTAGCAGTATTAAGCTACATACGTATTAATGATGTTTTACAATTCATCTATGTTTTTTTGTCATGATCTATTGAACTCAGGAACATTATGTTTGTGATCAGTATTACTGCTGCGTGTCACATCTCTTAAAGCTTCTCAATGGAAATCGGACACGGGTGGCCCAGTCGTCTAAGGCGCTGTGCAGAGTTGCGTCCCTTGGGCAGGCCGGAAACCTATGATTGTAGGTTCGAATCCCGGTTCGCCCCGATTATGTTTCTAGGTTTGTCAGCACCATACCCATGCTCGTGGGTTTCACCGAAGTGGTAAACGTCTGAGACCTGCATCACATCAGGCTTTCCTCCCACATTAAGCTGACACGCCGCGATATAACTGGAATAATGTTAAAAGCGACGTTAAAACCCAAATCACTCACTCTCTCACTCAATGGATATGTCTCAGTTATGTCATGTTTTTGCAGCTTAATAATTAAGAAGCATCTACACCATCTTATACTGTTTTAGAATGAACAGTAGGAATCGTACAATTGACTTTGCTTTGAGCAGAGATTTCTTATGACTATAGAAAGGATTTTATTGCTTTTATTTGTTTTATTAACAAACACTGATCAGAATTGACAGCTGCACGTTATGGAATGTTTGTGAATGTTGTCACTATGTATTCACCAGTTTACATATTTGAGTGATTGATACCTTTAGGTATTTATTATACAAGAGACCCTCCCCATGATAAACATGTAACTGAAATGAAATCTTTGGCAGCTCTTTAATAATTGTTGTCAGCAATGAAAGTGATATAATTTGAATATTTCAGCTTTTGGATCAAATTAGAATGACAAAACATAGATAAAATTAAAATATATGGAATTTATTTGATTTTGCCATTTGAGTTTTTAAGGAATAGAAAAATGGAATGGATGCAACCATTATCATGATTATTACATTTTACAAAAAAGTCATGGTGATTTTAATTAAGGAATAAAGTTTGTTCTACCCAAGTGTATCATAAGTGTTAAAAAAAATATTCAGATTCACCAATAAGTTTACTTATAACATATTGCCCTGTCGGGACAAAAAAGGATCTTAAACCACAATCGTAGCTTTCTGGCTTGCCCAAGGGACGCAACTCAGCATAGCGAAATGGGACGCTTGGGCGACGAGGCTACCTGAGCACCTTAAGACAGAGATAAGTAAACCTTTTGTAAAAGGTATGTCCGCCACGAGAGTCAAGTGTTTACCCTAACAGTTGATCTTGGCCCTATGACATAGACACCTATAATAGCATTGCTGCCTTCTGATGTCACACTCATACACTCTGGTGACACTTCTCATCTCAGTAGCTTGATCAGAGCACAGGAGGTCAGGTTTCTGATAAAATATTTCAGGTTTATTTTTAATAAAATCTCATCAAAGTTAGATCTTTTACTCGGTCTATGGGTGTGTCTTGTGAGACGTATTGTGTCTGGGTAAAAGATCGGATTTGAATGAGATTGGTTTTGAATAAGTGACGTCACATCGTCCATGACAAGATAGTGCCTCTACAATGTGTACCCAAGGAATTTGTTGTCAATGTCATGTCCAAAATTAGAACAGATGAAGTTGAGTGAATTTATGTCTCTCCCAGTAGGTTTACTGTTCATTGCTGACTGACCCAAGTGGGCAGGGTTAGAGATCGGGCCGTAAGGAACACCGATACCTACGATATCATCGATACTTAGGTACCCATGAATTGTCAGTTTTTGAGCTCGTAATTGTGTTTCAGAAATTAGCTCCATTGTACACATGTTGAAAAAGCTTCAGTGGGTATTTATGTATGCTGTTTTTGTACGTTTGAGTTTTTCATTTAATGCATGCGTTTCTGTACGCAAGTTAATTGAAGGTAATTGGGTTTTGAATATATTGGGGGGTATTTTACACAAATACGCAGCTTATCTGTAGCTCCGTGAGTGGTAATAAGGGGCTTTAGGATAGTCTAGTGGTTAAAGTGCTTGCTCGTCCTGCCAAGAATACGGGTTCAGTTCCAGACGTGGGAATATTGTGTGTAGGCTGGTTGTTGGAATGTTGTATACATAAAACTATGTTGTCTCACCCATTGAGATTGGGTGTTCTTGTTGTTGTTCACTAACACTAAATAACATACCAACTACAAAAGGAAGAGTCATCTGGTAATGGTACAGCATGGTAGAGTGTTTCAAGAAAACTATTATTTGCATCTGAGATTTACTTTTGTTGTTTGAAGGTAAGATTTGGTTTGTTGTTTAACGCCGCACTCAGCAATATTCCAGCTATATGACGGCGGTCTGTAAATAATCGAGTCTTGACCAGGCAATCCAGTGATTGACATCATGAGCATCGACCCACGCTATTGACCACCTGATCCCGTTAGTTGCTATTACGATAAGCAAGAGTATTTCAAATGAATTATTTACATTGAGAGTGACAGTAAACGATTTTTTTAAAACAATTTACTTATTTCTGGGCACCAAAGGTTAAAAGAGATCTGGGGGAAAAGGTCGGTGGGAAAAAAAGCAAATTTTTTCTTTCGCTCTAAGAGTTTGGAGCAGGGGGCTCCAGAATCCATTTTATAAAAATATGATTCTAAAAGAACCTGTGAACCTGTTGTACTTAGACATGTTGAAGCTGTAGCTCTGATGTAAGCTGTTCATGCTTCAGGGGAATGTCTGTAAGTAAACACGGACTAGGCACTCGTTCATTGTTTTATTTCTGTTGTAAATGAGAGGATGGGAGGACAGGCTTTGTCTTCTGTTTGTAAATGTCAACAAGTTGGAAACTTCTAAGCTGATGTAAACATCTTACACAATCAAAAGGTCATACTTAAGTGGAATGATCGTCCTGGTTCTCGGTGGTGGAGGGTCAGTTACGGCCATGCCATATGGTAGCAAAATAGCAACCATGGTGTAAAACAAAGCTCATATTTATCATGTTTATAGCTCCCACCCCACCCCATCCTATCCCACCCCACCCCACCCCACCCCACCCAACCCTACCATTAGAATTTAGAGGCTAAGTTGAATGATAGACCTTCACTAGAAGCTACGCTGTGACTATTAAGCATCAAATATGGAATAACTTCTGAATTTTATAGCTCTCAATCATTTCAGATGCAGTAATCTAGACTTGCCAAACATTATAGACTTGCATGGGCTGTATTTGATATATAATTGTATCAGGGTCTGTTAGACAGACTACGATGAAAGGTGTGATCTTAAACCTCTTGTCTTCCAAAAAGAAACTAAGTGTGTTCCTCATTAATACTGACCATGGCATTATTGTTGGTGATGTCAAATATCTGAAAACACGATATATACTTTCTTTTATATGTACTCTGGCTTTGATTCATGAATGAGTATCAGTGCCATGATAGAAAAACGTGTTAAACGAGAGTGGCGGTGGTAAAACGCGCAGGTATTGTTCGATACAGTTAATACATTATCATCAGTTTTGTATCACCAGGGTAGTGTCAATCATGAACCAGGCGAGTTATTCGTGTTGTGCAAATTGACATCAGTGCAAGGATTAGGCTGAGTACATGGTGGCGATGGTTTTACATTCAATCCACAGGTTGCTATTGACGACACACCTACTAGCCAGGTAGGCATGGCGTCAATCACAACATTTGGATAAGCAGCTGTTTGCTTAATTTAGGTGTTAATTACGTCTGTGTATTGAGAACTCTGCTGGTTGCATAAATCTGCCATCTCTGTCATTGTGAAGTACAGGAGCAGGTAGCCTATTCTACAGGCCAGGCCCCGTCACTACATCACATGAAACCTGCTCCTGTAACCTTCAACAAGTCACGGGACTGTTTTAAAACTTGGTTTACATATCCACCTACTCTAAAAGCGTGAATTCTTTTTTTTTTATGAAATTCAGTTATTTTTATTTTGGTGCCCAGAAATAAGTAAATTGTTTTAAAAAAATCGTTTACTGTCACTCTCAATGTAAATAATTCATTTGAAATACTCTAATTAAATTCTGTTGAAAAGATATCTTAAAAAGTTAAAAACACTCCAAATTATGATAAATCACGAGAGGAAATGAAAAATATGTTTGAAATTGGAAATATCTTTTGTGTGTTTTTTGTGCCTATGTACCTGAATTTTTTGGCTAACCATGCAAAATGCATTGATGTTTTATGTCATGGACTTAAGCAGTGATT